CTGTATTTATGTGTGTGTGTGTGTGTGTGTGTGTGTGTGTGTGTGTGTGTGTGTGCGACAGTATTTTTTCATCTTCCTGCATATTATAATGAAATGCGTATCACAACAGTGCTGCGAGTCAAAAAATCCAAAATCGTTTTCCAAACTTCAGCATCCTGAAACATGTAGTCAAGCGAGCTGAAAGCCTTAAATTAGGGATTGTAGCTCATCAACTGGCACCCAATGAATAAGCCAAACAAGTGCCGTGGTGCACCGATCTATGTCCCACTACCGCAAAACACGTTGTAGCTGCACAGAAGAACAAACCAGGAACTTAATTCTTAGCCTTTCTGGTTTGCCAGTAGATCATAAGATTATCAGGATGAAGCGCGGAATTTCATTTATTGTGAGCCTTCAGCAGCAAATGAACGCTTATTGCATCGGTTCTTTTGCAAAAACTGTTAATAAAAGAAATGAAAAAAGAAATGCGAAGTATTTCAATAAATGCCGGTTTTTATCTAGCGATGATCCTTGTTTGAACATCTGTACTAGTTCACTGTTGGTATATCCATTCTTTTTGATGCATCGAAAAAAAAAAGGTTAAACTGCACTTTAGGAACTTCACGAAATCTTTTGTGAAATTCTTCATTGTACTTTGAACTTTGGACGAAATTTTGTTCATCATAGTTCTTGTGGCAACAAAAGTAATTGGCCACTGCACCGACTGTCGGTGTGAAGGTGCATTTTTTGCACAGTTCTCCGCAAGTTTTTGTCGCTAACGGCGCTGTTTTTATGCCTCTAACTAAAAGAATTGAGATTGGCCACCACTGCTGTCAGTAAACATTCCCTTAAAATTTCTATTATCTAACTTTTCTGGTCCGCGAATTAGCAATTTGCTTGCCAAAAATTTTCACGTACATGAGAACAATGTGGGCAAGAATGTCCAATTTTAGGGATATGGGCCCGAACATATGTGTAGACCAAGATTCCAAAGCGCTTTGCATAGATGCGAGAAACGTATAAAAAATCGTATACATTTATCCAACAGCTAAGAAAATGGCACCGAAAGAACACTGAGGGAAGAATGCCAGTTGGACAATTACCTAGCGCCGGAGCGCACTGATCGAGGGATTTCGAAGAACTGGTTTCTGTGTTGTTAGATGCTGAATTACGGCTTTACAAGGATTGCAAGTAAGTGCTAGGCCAAAGACGAAATATGAGCAGTATTTTGGAATGAAAAGTATATAACATTCTTAACTCATAATAATTCATTAATAGCTATACTGTGATAATTCTAAGCGCATGAGAATGTATAAAGCTATAGTTAAATTCTTGCAATCTTTTAACAATGCTTTCGGAAATCGTGTGTTTTGTCAGAAACAGAACACTTGTAAAAGTGTTTATCATGCTTTAAGATTGAATAGATAACTATTTCTAGGTTCGGTTGCTTGACTACCAATTTCTATCAGAAACAGATTAAGCTAGATTTCCTAAAATTTGTGAATGCAAGCGTAGAAAAAATATGAGATTAATTCTTAAAGTTATTTCTGTCTTTATCTGTTAACTTACTCCAAACTGGGACAATATCCTAATCTAAAAGGTGGACATAGGCGAACTCATTTGATTAAGTACCTTGATAAGCGTTTTTCCGTGCTTTCATTTTTGTGCTGTGCAGCGCTATAGCGCCGCTATAGCCAGCAAAAACGCATATTGTCGAGAGGCTGTCTTTATGTGTGTGTTCGGAAAGCGAGTGCATTTCGTCACCCACTTACATCTCAGCAACCGGGAAAGCTGGGAGCCTCAAACTTTGGATATATGTTCCTACCCAGTGTGTCATCCTCCCGTTTTAAGATCATTCCCCATACGCGCCTAGACCCCGCGTACGGGACCCCCAAAGAAATATGTTGGCGGGAAACGATTTTCGCGACCAGTTAAAGTAGAAGGCCGAAACTTTGCAGGGATATTCTCTATGCACTCGCGAGACAAAGACTTTAAACTCAGCTCTCTAGCTCCCCAACCACAGCCTCAAGCAGCTTCTGAGCCCAAGAATCGTTAGCAACTCGGACTTGAACCGCAATTGTTTATGCAAACGAACATGGAT